AAATCATAGCATAGCATAGATACTTAGGTTGCCTTTTATGTTTCGGATTGATGAGACCAGTATGTGACAAGTGACAAGTGTTAAGGTGTCTTCGGAAGCTTTGAAATCGAAAAATGTGGAATGCGAGATCTATGAATAGCAACAAAGGTCTCAGCTGATTGTTCTCTCTCTTGTGTAATAAATACAGGTGAAATATAAACACATTTTCGTATGGTTTGAAGAAAAGCCGTTACTCTCCATCTTTTCCTCGAAATGAAATTCCTCTTCAATCTACTTTTTTTTAAGAAAATGCTTTTTTGCTTCTTTCTCGAAAGACATTATTTTCCTTCTAGCCTTTTTCAAGGAAATTAGTTCTCTTTCACTCACTCAATGAGCATTTTCTTCAGATGGTATTCACGGTTATTTTATTGTCATTATCCATTATTGTTTATATTCCTGGCAAAATCACTAGACACATTTTTAAAAATTTTCTGGCGTTTCTGATTTTTGGGATCTTCTTGAAGAGGGGACATACAAAGTGAAGTATTGAGTTTTCAAAAAACTCTTTTATTGTTTCTTAGAATAACATGATTTATAAAACGGAAAATATAATAAATTTTTTTTGAATCAAATTATGACTTCGTGACTGGATAAGAAGCGTTTGTTGCAATTCCACATTGATTATTCTGATTTCTGGACATCTTAATGTATCCTTCCATTCCCCAGCTGGTACCCCAGGAGTTCTTCACCAGCCAGAAGTCTTTACCATTCTCTGTACCATATCCAACGGCAAGTACTCCGTGGTTTAGGTTGAACTCCTCGTTACCACACATTGTATCAAAAAATACACCTGCGAATAAAAAAAAACATTCTGATTTATCATTATACATGAAGATATTTCAATATGAGAGAGTTCTTCCTTGTTTTAATGGCATGAATGAAATGTAATTGTTGAAGGAAGCGATACATACAAAAGAATAAATATTTCGAATGGAAATTCTGAACATCGCCCGGATATTATACCAAGTAGGACCTTTTGAATGCAAGAAATCTGCCGAGAATTCGTTTGGATCTGATGATGAATAAGAAACGAGAAGAATTACCAGGAATATTTCTATGAGGAAATTCGAAATCTCTCTCACTGTTGAAATTATGATGACCTGTGGCAAAATCAAAGATAATCACTACCTGCTTCATAAAATTGAAAATTTCCAGATGCACTTATCGCAACTGAAATAGGTCCTATTGTAGCTACAGCTATTTGGAGAGCGACTTCGTCATTAGCTTTTATGTCTTTGTAGGCATCTATTTGAGCAATCCCACGTGATTTGTTGAATCTACATATGCCGTCTGATTCCTGGTATGGGTAGTCTTTTTCCATCATGAGGCCACCAGCCGCAATGATGTAATCCATAGCTTTGTCCATATACCCCCCATCGCAACCTGAGCAGTCTGTAGCGCAGTCTACCAATTGTTGTTCACTGAGGGAATATAGTTGTCCAGTTTTTATGGCGACTTGACCCTCCACGGACCCTGTCTACAAAAAATATTGATGAATAGAATTTATTTTTGCCAGCTTCAGTGATCCTTACAATATTTTCAAATGCTGTTTTTTTTATCAGTTGGGAAAGGGATCAAATTTTTCTTTTTGATTTGATAAATTAGATTTTTTCCAACGTTTCTGACTTTATTAAATCTATCATAAGGGCTCTATAATGAAATAATTTCATAAAGAAACATCATACATACCGATACATATTGCAAATTATTATAGTTTTTACTAATATCATATGTTGTAAGAAATATAAACAAGTGGACTTACCAAACATTAGTTTATTCATGTTAAAGAAACGTTGAAAATATACAGGGTGTAACTCAATAAGTGTAAAACATTTAGCAAGGTGATTCCTCATCGGAAAAAAGATAGGATCTTTCATATAAAGGAACTTCATTGCCACTTAGCCAGTAATTTATTTGGTTTACCCCATGATTGTAAGGGGTGGAAAACGCAACCCCTAAAATTTATTTCCAATGTAACTTTTTGTTTTATTATTTGTTCACCATTTAAAAATTTATTTCCGATAGCCTGTTTCATTCTTAACAAAAAATGTCTCTTGGGTTTTTTGCCCAAAATAAATCAGTTCGCAGCAAAAAATTATTTTACTACAGAGAATTGTTTATAATTTTCTAAAATCCTGAACGATAGAAAGATATCAGTGTTCACAGGATGGTGGAAACTTCTTTGTACCAAACTGTTGAGGAATTTGATCTGACAAATCGAAATATGCACTGTTCAGTCCTTCTATGTCTTTTCTAGTGCTGAGATATTTTTGTTTCGAAGTGTGGATCATCTCACTAAACAGTCGTTTACCTAATAAACATTGAACATCTGAAATATTATGGTTTGCAGAGTCAAAATCGTGGGTGTTTTCTCTTGTGTTTCCCTTGTGTTTTCTCGTGTTTTCTCTGTTGTGTTTTCTCAACAGCCCTCTCAAGGAGGGCTGTTAGATTGGCAATATTCAACTTTTTTGTATCTCTTTCATGTTCAGACAACCTGTTTTTCAGGTGACGTCCGGTTCGTCCCACATAACATTTTGGACAATCCTTGCCATTTTTTTTATAAATGACATCGTCATTGAATATACATTGATGACTCATTTCGAAAATATTTGGAACTATCTGAGTTAACGTCAAATACATATTGAATGTGTCAATTGATGGATCAAATATGCCGATTGCTAGATTGAATGTAGCAATCGACAGATTACATGTGTGAAGTGACAGATTGAATGTGTCAATTCGACAAATTGAATGTGTCAATTGTCAGATTAATTGTATCATTTGACAGATTGAATGTGTCACTTGACAGATTGAATGTGTCAATTGTCAGACAAAATTTGCCAATTGTCAGACTAAATGTGTTAATTGACAGATTGAACGTGACAATTGAGGGATTTATATTTTTGTAGGGGCACATACTCACCGTCGGACAAAAAACAATTGACATCAATTGATATCCACAAATATGTCAGCTTATGGAGTGGCAAAATCAATTTTTCATACTAAAAACGTATTTTGACACATGAGTTTTCTGGAGAAAACATATCTTTTACTAACGCTATGATTTGGTGTATGCGGTTATTGCTTATATGCAACAACGAAAACATAGATAAATGAATGAATTAATGAATAAATGATCTTGATAGTGGACATAAATATAAACTCACAGTGCTGAAAGCCCAACAAGATCCACAGTCGCCTTGGTCTTTAACATCTGTAACAGCTCCTTTCTTGGTCCAGTCTACTTCTTTAGGTAGGTCTCCATCAAATTCCATTTCAACTTTCTGAGTAACAAACTTTGGCTTGAAATTTTTCGAATATTTCATTCTCTCCATGAATTCTTCAGGAGTCAGGTCTGCGAATTTGTTGACACCCATTCTGTAGGTAGTCTGGCCTCTTTCAAATTTCTCATTGTGTTCTTCGATCCTCAACAAATTCGATAGAAAAATATTGAAGCGCTGTTTCTCTTCCACTATGTTTCGATAGGACTTGGAAAAAGTGGTCTGAAAAACGTATCATGTACATTTAGACACTTTATGTTAAGGGGAGAAACAGAATCGTAAATGAAATGAAATTATAGGGATAGAAATCTGTAATTCCAACCTTGAAGTTTTCCCAAGAATCTGTATCACTGACAGCTTCAATAACAGCTACAATAGCAAAAATACACACGATCGACTTCATCTGAAATAAAATATGTTTGAGATCGAGTTCAACAGAGAAAACAATACTTTCCCAGAACTATTCAATTGTATAAGGCATATTTCAAAGTTTACATGGAGGAAAAATTCTCAACCTGTTATTGCTTCAAATCTCTGTGAGGAAATAGAATTTATCAAAATATATTTCTTACCATAAGTTTGGTTTTGAGTGCTATATTCAATATGACATTTCCTATCGTAATCATGGTATATATACTTTCCAGTTTCCTTGTTTATTCCAATGAAATGTAGGTATATGCTACGGAAACTGTGTTGTTTTTTGTTGTCTGGGTTCTCTTTATCATTCTATATCTATCTTAGATGAAATATTGAACAGACATTATGTACTGGATTATGATACGGAGTAGATGTCTATCTTTCTCGAAAGGGAAAATATGGAATCATTTTCATCATATGAATCAATAATTGATGTAAACAAAATATTTTTCATTTGCTTCAACGTAATTGACAATTTTTTTGTTGAATGTTTGTTTTCGATTTTTAATGTATGAAATGGTGTTGAAATAATTCCAACAGAAGATGATAAAACATTTAGAACGCTACATGTGAGATTATGTTAGACTGGGAGTTTTGAAAAAAATGCAGGTGGTGGAAAACTAGAAATTGTAACAACGACTGAACTAGAAGAAACTATACTTGATGCGATAAAAGAAGGTACTTCAAATAGTACCAGGAAATAGTAATAGCACCAGAAATGAACTTTAAACGTTCAAGCCAGTCTCGGATATACCTACACAGTGGGTTGAATAGACTGACGCCTATCAGAAAACAACGACTCCCCCGGGTAATACCACGAAGGGCGTTGGATTACATCCGACAGGCGTCAGTGCAGGAATCTTCACAGAAAATTTCCTGCATATGCAGTTGGCAATACAACTGAATAATCGAAATTCTTTGATATTATTTCATTCCTCTTCCTTAGTTGGAGCGAACAACAAAATATCACTCCATCTAGTGGACGAGGAACTAACCAACTGCTTATAAGAATTTTGCCCGATTCCTCTGAAGAAAAACTTTCTTATCAGTCACACGCTTGAAGACTGGCAGTAAACAAATCTAAAGAAATTAACTTAAAGTCTCGAATATACCTACACAGTAGATTGAATGGACTAACGCTTATCAGAAAACAACTACTTCCCTGGCTAATATCACGAAGGGCGTAGGATTATATCCAACAGGCCTCAATGCAGGAATCTTCATAGAAAATTTCCTGCATATGCAGTTGGCAATACAACTGACAGAGTCGACCTAATGATCCCGAAATCGGTCTGCAAGTGTGCCCGTTCCAAAAACTTTTTGTCTCAAAAATCAATCTCTGCTAAAAATATACCCTTCAAATTAAGGCTATCATGAACTTTTACAGTGACCATTTTTGTGCCGACAGAAATTCACACGTTATTAAAGACAGTGATTTTCAGCAATAATTTCCGCTGAACTTTTGGGTAGGAATGATTGATAACTACCTAATTGGTCTATTTTTTCTACCAGCAAAATAACCAGGTGAATCCTACATGGACTCTTTGCGAATTTATTTACTCATTTTGTTAGAAGTGTCTGTCTGTACTTGTTAGAGGCAACATGTGATTTATGTACGACGGGACTTCTGCTCATTTCAATGTTATTGCTCAACAGCATCTCGACATTACCTACCCTAATGGATTGGAAGTGAAGGACCTCAAAATTAGCCAGCTCGCAGTCCTGATATGAATTCTTTAGATTCATATTCATGAGGTCATCTGAAGGCTCTTGTTCATGAAACTCTCGTACTAGATGTGAATTGAATAATTGACAATTGTAGTTTAGAACGTGTTAGACAATGAATAACAAATCGATTGCGGTGGTATATTTTATCAGAAGATAGATATTTTGCTCATTTACGTCAAGGTCAAAATTGTTAATTATTTACTTTTGGTTTTTATTTTTCAGTTTAGTTATTTTTTTTTTTTGAAAATGAAGCTCAATATGGAGAACAGACAAAAAAGTTGCTAGTTGCTTACTCTACAAAATTAAATAAAAAAGTCTGTGGTGTTTTTTTCCTAATATTGTTTACTGTGGTGCCCGCTGGGACGCCACTGGACCCAATAAGTTCAATCTAGTTAGGGCTGACTAAGCGCCTTTTACTTCAAGAAACTGTAGCAAATTTCAACCAAATTGGGGTAATGATATTTATGATATTTTATAAAGATTNTTTTCAAGTTGCTTTATCTAAAAAAATTAAAAAGTCTGTGGCGTTTTTTCCTAATATTGTTAACTGTGGACCCAACAATTTCAATCAAGTTGGGGCTGAATAAGCGCATTTTACAAACAACCGTAGCAAATTTCAACCAGATTGGTGTAAGGATATTTATGATATTTTATAAATACAAGTTATTTTTTGTTTCAGCGCCCTGTATCTCAGAAACGTAGCAACTCCGGAAGAATGTTCATAGGAACTTTTCTTCTCAAAACGACCTGACAAATCACCCTTTGAAGTTTCGTACCGTAGTTAGGAAACACCCTGTATAATGAGTAGGATATATAATTCAAAGAGTAGAATGTTGATACAATAAATTTTATAAAGGAATGGTTTTCACTGCTTATATATTATAGGTTTTTCAATCATGAGGGTTCTTTCTACCCCATACAATATATACCATACAAATAACAGTTTTCTGAAATTAGCGTTTCTATACGTCTATATTTCACACACTCATATCTTATCTTCTACTTTCGAATTGATTCGTCTGAGTATGTTGATTCTGTATCTGTAGAGTGGGGTGCTGTACAGTGAGACCCACATTACTTAGGCCACATGTGACCCATTGTATATCCTCCTGAAGAGTTGTCCTCCTAGGTCATCGTCCATCCTGTCCTTTCTAGGAAGGTGGACAAGTCACTAGGAGACATCTCCTTCATATCGGCAGGTGTAGGCCAAGACTCGCCGAACACACACTCTCTTTGGCAACCTTGACGTATCTCACGGCGACCTCCGCGAAGGTTTTGGAAGGTGCAGCGACAGTACTGTCGTTCTTCAACCTTCTTGGGGTTCCCTCCGTGGAGGTTCACAAGTGAGGGATCTTTCTTACAGGGGCAGCCCGTTTCTTGGCGCCCGCCGCAGGAAGTGTCTTTGCTGTTGCAGGTGGAGAGAGGGAGGAGGGGGCCTTGGCGCCGCAAATGCGCTTACGCCTTGGCCTTTGTATTACATCACGAGGTGATCTGCTATGTCCAGCCTCATTCCGAGCGGTAGATTGGGGTGAACATGTCTGTTCATCCCCAGCCACCGCCTTGGATTGAGATGAGCACTTCCGTCCCACGAGTAGCAAGGGAAGAGTTGGTCACCTCTGACAGAGCCCCGAATCACCAGAGAAAGGCTGATCAGAATGAGGTTTCACCTGGTTCCCCAAGGGGATCGTTCGTAACCGCATCATTCAGCTATCGACACGATTCCTTACGCTTCAGCTTGAGTAGGCTGGTCCACGGTGGCATGTGGGGCTTTTGGGGAGTTTTAGTTCCTCTCACTCTACTTATTTCTGCCACAGACCAGGAGTCCAGCGACCCCGTTCATAAGGCCGCATTAGCTTCCTGTCTTTTGTCTTTTGGTCGTTCACCTATCCGTCACCTGGGGACGCGCCCGATAGGTAGCCCAATCTACGGGAGTATGTTGATTATTTCAGTCATTATTCTTGAATTCATATTTATTCACACTTTTGCAGACAGTAAGAGTCCAACATTCTATCAAGAAACCGTTCAATAAACCATCGAGTTTGAAAAAGCTTAATTCTCATCCCTTCTGAACGTCAAACAATTAAAGATGCATTTCATAGAATGGCAGTCACACCAGAAATATCACTCGTTTTTTCAAAAACGGATACTTAGATGTAGGAATATATGATAAAACAATTTTTACGAACGATAATAAATAGAAAAGGTATATTTTTCAGTGCAAAGGGACCCGACGTGAATGAGCCACATTTTAGTTCTCACTGAAATGAAACATCTTACATCAAACAACGGGAGATTTTGTTTCAAAAATATTTTTCCAGTATTATTTTGGTGGTTTTTGTTTTTGAATCAGCTGACACCTCCACCCAAAATACTACCTTCACTCGATGATTCAAAATGGCTTCAACCATTTCCCTTTCGTATATCAGTAACATATTAAAATGGACTGTGATTCTAACATGTTTCCCAAATGACTCCAGCAGATTTGATAACTTTTTTGTTGATATGCACATTCATTAACAAGATGATGCTGGGAAAATCCACTCCCCAAACACTATGGAGTACTTACTATTATCATCAGCGGGAAATTATTATGAAATAACTTTCAGTTTTCGTGACTTTAAATTTATATTATTGAATTATAAAAAAACTTTTCCAATTCTTCAAGTGACTATCCTGATTAACGAAAAAGAATATCAATATACAATATAAATACAATATAATGAAATCATGAGTTTATGACTGCAAAAATAGCATTTGCTGCAATTCCACATTGATTATTCTGATTTCTGGCCATCTTAATATATCCATTCATTCCCCAGCTGGTACCAAAGGAGTTCTTCACCAACCAGTAATCCANATATTATATAAATAAGAAATTTTTCAATTGAAAATATTCCTTCACCCCTAAATTGTTTCCGAATGACTGCTATATACTATCTATTTCATTAGAAAGTTCGATTTATATATTTTTCAGCGATATGGCCGTGTTTGTTTATTTCAATAAGAGTATTATTGTATTAAAACACTAGTTCATTGTATAATATGTGCAATGCATTTTCTTTGTTGTCTGAATCTTCCATCTCATTCGAAATCCGTTTCAGATGAAATCTGCGACGTAGTTAGTGAGGATTTTATTTTTCTCCACAACATAATTTCAAGTTTTTCAACATTTGATCATGATCTGGTTTTAATATATAAATTTTTTGACCTGAAAGCCAATCAATTGAACAACTACCATAGTTTAAATTTATGTTCATGTTTATTCCATTTTCGAATATTATTGAGGTTATGGTCATTCTATAACTCCAGATTTCTCCACCTTGTCTACTTTATTTTTGACATTAAAAAGGAAATTACATTTTATTGTTTGCTGATGACCTGAAAATGTTTAAAGCTATTCATGACTCAACTGAAGCATACTTATTACAGTACGATTTATCTAACTTTGTTCATTGGTGTGATACAAATCTACTGCAAAAATCCCATTAACCGGCCATATAAAATCAATCAATCAGAATTGAAAACAACAAACACAATCAGAGATTCAGGAATCACTCTCGACCCAAAAATGTCATTTAAACCCCATATCGCAAATATTACTTCTAAATCATTAAAAATGTTAGGTTTCATTCTTAGATTTGCAAATGAATAATCTCTCACTTCAATAAAAATCATATATTGTTCAATTGGTAGATCAATAATCGAATACAATTACACAATTTGGTGCCCTTCATATGTGGATATTGATTTGAAAGGGTTATATTTTTAGGAGTGATTAATTTTTTGGGAAAGAAAGTTTTTGGCTTTCTACTACTCCATCTGATACAAAAAAATCTAACTAAAAATTTTGAGACTTGCAAATACATACAATGTAGATTTAGAATGTTTTAATTCTAACTAAACAGCTTACAAAATTGCAACAAGTGTTTCACTATGCAATAACTTCCTCAGGCGAGTTCATACTTCATGCATTAACGTCTAAAAAAATCTACAATTGTGACAGATTAATTTTCTAACAAAATTTATTATTGCCAGAGAGTTTTGAATGAAGTGAAAATTACAGTTTCCATCATAAGTAAGCAGATTCTTACGTAGAATATAAAAAAGTAATTTATCGGTCTACTTGAGTTTTTCAAAAATAAAAAAAAAAGTTGGATGACATTGATCTATCAAAAGAGATAATCATGTTTTTATAAAAAAATGACGAGTGACATCACACTTATGAATTTTTGTCTCAATTTTAATTTTAATGAATATCTATTTCTCTTCAAAAGTTGAGAGGGGTGGGTAGTTTTATACATCCGCATTTTTCTCGAAACTATTTTTAACAATTTCGACTGTCGACAGTAGGGTAGACCGGGGACAATTGAAACAGTGGACAATAGAAACAACCGCCATAGTAGACAGATTTCGCGGTTTAAATCACGCGCGCTTATACCAAACGAAGCGCCATTAGATGAAGCACGTAGCCATTTATCGGCCACTGACGGCAGTTGTGACTGTATGTGCACGTCCACGATAACTTGATTTCCCGCTATCGAAGTAAACTTTTACATTGATTGAAAATGTGTGTTACAAGAGATAAAAACGTAAGTATCCAGCTTCGACTATATTTATTACTTTGTTTGGTATATGCCTTTTAGTCGGGATACTTTAAATTATTACTCTAATCCAAGAGTAAGAAAATATTTGAGTGTTCACTCAAAAATGTGCCACAGGGACAGTTGAAACACATGACATGGGGGACGATTGAAACATGTTTCAATTGTCCCCGTCGTGAATTTTTCATGTGGTTCATATTGTAGGTTGTGTAAGGGTATGTTAAGGTGTTAACTTTTGTTTTAGGATGCCACGAGTAAGAGTGAGAAAAACTGAGAAAGGATTAAAATCCTTTTTGGCATATGAAGAAGCTCATAAAGAGGTTACTGAAAATCATGCTTCGATAAGGTCTGCAGCAGCTAAATATGAACTACATTACGTCTCTTTGAGTAGATTTATCAGGAAGAAAAAGCAAGCAATTGAGCAAGAATCCGCTGTTCCTGTCACTATGGGTTATCATTGTGTAAGGCGAGTATTTGACGTGAACCAGAAAGAAATTATTGTTGGCTATATAATCAAAGCAGCGCATATATTCTACGGAATACCACCCAAAGAAATTCGAAAATTAGCTTTTCAGTTGGCCGTGAAATATTCGCTGAACATGCCTGATACATGGAGACAAAATGCCATGGCAGGAGAGGATTGGTTTCCTGGATTTATGAAACGCAATCCAAACTTTCAATCCGCTGCGCTCAAGCAACAAGTCTTTCCAGAGCAACTAGTTTCAACGTTACGAACGTAAAACTTTTTTATGACAACCTAGCTAATGTTATGGACAGGTACAAATTTGAACCGAAAGATATATATAATGTCGAGACAGGGGTCACGATGGTCCAAAAACCTGTTAAAGTAGTAGCCGAAAAGAGAACCAAACAGGTAGGCGCACTGACATCAGGAGAAAGAGGAACGCTAGTAGCCGTAGCTTTAGCTGTAAATGCTATCGGTAACAGTGTACCCTCCATTTTTATATTCCAACGGTTGAGATACAAGAATCACTTCGTCCGTGACGGTCCAGTGGGGTGTATTGGAGCAGGAAACGCGAGCGGCTGGATGCAAGAAGATGAGTTCTTGATATACCTCAACCATTTTCAAAAGCACACCAATGCTTCAATTGAAAATAAAGTATTGCTTTTACTTGATAATCATCAGTCACACATAGGTATACGATGCTTGGACTTCTGTAAAGAAAATGGCATTGTCATCTTGTCTTTCCCCCCACATTGTTCCCACAAATTGCAACCGCTAGATCAATCTGTCTACGGTCCTTTTAAGAAGGCTGTGAATTCGATTTGCGATGCCTGGATGAGAAATAACCCAGGCAAAACAATGACAATTTACGATATCCCAAGCATAGTCAAACTAGCTCCGCCGTTAGCCCTCACACAGTCAAATATCGTAGCTGGATTTTGCTCCCTCGTATGTCACGGATAGACCAGCATCACCAGGCACTCATCGCACTCCGCCAGCATCACCAAGCATCTCAAAACTCATATTTTCGCAAGCTGACGCAGACCAAGCACCTCAAAATCTGTATTTTCACGTGCTGATGCAGAACCAAGCACTTTAAAGGCCGTATTCTTGCCAGAAATCGTTAGACCGTTGCCGAAAGCTCCGCCTAGGAAAACATGTTACAAACGAACAACTAGAAAATCTGCTATCTATACGGACACTCCTGAAAAAAATGCAATTCAAGAGGAGTATGACGCAAAAAAGAAAAGGAAAGTTAAGAGTAAAGTTACGGAGTTCAAAGACATGCCGAAGGCAGTTCGCTAGCTCAAGAAAACCAAACAACGCCAAAACAATCAGGAACAGAGTGAAAGTGACGAAGAAGACACTTACTGTCTAGTTTGCCTGGAACCGTATGGCAGTAGTCGCCCTGGAGAGAAATGGGTGCGGTGCATTGAATGTCGTAACTGGTCCCACGAAGAATGTACTCGACAAGAAGATCTTTACATGTGTCACAATTGCTTGTCAGAATGAATATTTTTGATTATTAATGTAATTTATTTTGTAATCATTTTAGGCGAACGAAATGATGTAAATAAAAACCCGACTGAATATGCTCCCTTTTACTCATGTCATAATTAAGAAATTTTCGATAGCCGCTGAGAAAAAAATTCAAGAAGCAAAAATGTTTCAATTGTCCCCGGTCTATATTACACTTTTTTATTTTTGATTGGAAAACGTTATTCAGATGGACGTGGTTGATGTTGCATTCCTGGTGACTGGGAAAAGTAATTGGGTTTTCAGTTATTCATGCAACTTTGAAAAGAAAATAGTTTTTATTTAAAACGATATTAACTAATTTTCGATTCAAGACTTTTCAACGTATTTCAATATTGAAATCATTGTAGATTGTGGAATAATCGGACACTCGATCAGTGAACTTATCGCGAATATGCATTAAGATTGATGTCAAGACAAAACAAACGCTATCAATATATTAATTTCTTCGAATTACCTTTCCTCTGCCAAATCTACAAACAGATCTTCAAACCTCAGATCCTGACAATAGGTATATAAAAGGAAAGGTTTTCAATAGAAAAGTCAAACTGAATTCAGTAGTGAATTGAATATAACATCATTTTCATGGTAAGATAAATCTGTTATAAAAGTTTTCAAATTATTTACTTATTTTTTTTATATCATTAGGTGGTTTTGGAGTAATGTTGAATGACACATTTGATTGAATGATAAAATAAAGCTGAGTATCAATCCATTACACTAAAAAATCACAATTTAGCCTCCTCCTGTTCATAGAAAAAACATATGCCCCTAACATACAAGGAATTTTGGTTACTCGACGTGAATGATATTTATTGGTCCCACATGCCTGTCTACAATTTGTCCCGTAATAACCACAGAATATGAGTGTAGTTTGATAGTTCATAGAGGTTATAATGAAAAGATTCTGGACATGTTTATCATGCAAGAACAAAGTCGATGTTGATATTTGATTTGTCTAAATATATTTATTGAGGAAAATGTATTCGAATGTATCAAATATTAGCTATAATTGGCTTACAAAATGCCACTCTCATTATTATAACATAAGAAAATATGTTCTCATAAATTCATGTAATGATAAAATTTATATAACTAATGAAGAGTCGGCACTGGTATGTGACACTACGATGTCTAACAGGCTTTCTTACAGGTCACTGTCATTTGGATCATCATATGCAGAGACTCGGACTGTCGAAAGACAGAGTGTGTCGCCTCTGTTTGGAAAATGATGAAACAGCAGAGCACATAATTTGTTCCTGCCCCGTTGGGGACCGAATCAGGTTTTTAGAGCTCAGCAGAGCGGTTTCGTTAAGAAGCTGGGTTTAATAGGTGTGAGCCACAATAAACCCTTGCGGGTTGCGATGGAGGGTTGAATAGACCTACTAACTTTGGAGCTGACTTAACCTAACCTAAAATAACCTAACTGGTATTCTTGGTTTTTGCAGTATCGTAGCAGAAATCCCAGCGGCAGAAATTATTGATAAACTTACTCGCTTACCAGACGTTTCCTTCTTGTAATATTGTGAAAAAAAGAAGGCAAAATAGTCCTCACGAATACCGATCATACGACAAAACTTCAGGTGTTAGCTCGGCAGGACTTGAAGCGTCTTTCTGTTCCACCCAGGAAATCCATTGTCGCGCAATAAATCAAAAGTGATTTGTGGTGCATTCAAGGAAATTAAAAATTCAAAACTGGAGCCATAAAAATTGTACCATTCGAATCGTAACATACGACACATCAAGGGCGACAAAAGATTAGTTATTTTCATTGTTTGGTTTTGCCTCACCTCTACTCCAGTAGAGCTCAGTGTACAAATCCATAAAAGAAGGAAATTTTAGGATTGGACTGTAACACTAAAATTCAGGGAAACTTATGTAAGTGGATTATCAAAAAAATAAAGTCTATGTTCAAATTTCGTGGACTACGTACATTCGATTAGAAATATTTTTATTTTTTTAAGTTGGTACCCTCATCTCGAACATTTCAGCTGTTCGGCATGTTTAGTATGATGGCGAGAAGCATACAAGTTAGAAGTATTCCATGAGTCCGGACGATTTTCTGCTATCAAAGAATTTGCATCAAATTTCGTGTATAAAATGGAATCATGTGCTCAAAAATACTCGAAATATTGACAGTGGCATACGATGAATTTACTCTTAGTTAGGAAAATGTTTATAAGTGGAACAAGCTTTTCACTGAAGGTCAAGAATAAGTGAATGATGACTCTTGCCTTGGACGACCCAGGAGAAAAAAAAGTACCAAGATTTGGTGCAGCACTTCATCTCTGAATCACGCGACGATTCTATTATTTTCAGAATCGTCTGATGATGTAATCAGCTTTCAACCAATATCTTTCAAACTGGTTCCATTACTTCCGATTTCATATTTTGCTGTTGTTCTTACTTTTGGCCTATCCAGAATTATTGAAATAAATATCATTAAAAAAAACATTTCCATTTAAAATTATAGAGAATAATCCATTTATAGACATTCTATGCACATTCTTTCGGGAATAATCCTGCCATATTCATTCAAGCATATTCTATGAATATTCTAAAGGCATGTATATATTCCAAGAATATTCTATGAATATTTGGAATATATACGTTCGTTTTATGATATACAGGGAATATTCCATGAATATCTAGTGCTGTGTGGGATAATAGAGACACCGGGCCACCGGTATTTTGGATGTGTTAAATTTAAAGCTACGGGCAACGAAATCTTCATTTCGAACAGTTATAGAAAGTTTATTACAGTTTTGCCGTGAATAAATAGTGAGAAATATTCTGTTTTTTCCAGATCAATTTCTCCAAGTCCTACCAAAACGTGGTAGAAGAAAAAAGGCGTTTCAATATTTTCCTGTCGAATTTGTTGAGGATCGAAGAACACAACAAAAATTTCAATCGTGGTTTATCAACCTATGAAATGGGAGTTAACAAATTTGCTGATCTGACTCCTGAAGAATTCATGGAAAGATTCAGACCCTTGGGAAAAACAAATCTGAAGCCTCTGGAACAAGCAACACTCGAATTCGATGGAGACTTACCTGCTGAAGTTGATTGGACCAAAAAAGGAGCAGTTACAGAAGTCAAAAGTCAAGGTTCTTGTGGATCTTGCTGGGCCTTTAGTACAGTGAGTTTTTAAAGTGGGAGGTGGAACAGTTCACTCGATTTTTGAGAAGGTTTAGAAACTGAGTAATCGAATTGTTTTTTATGTTCGAAATGGCAATTTGTCTAGTAACTAATATCATTATTTCAGACAGGATCAGTGGAGGGTCATAACTTTATAAAAACTGGAAAGTTGATTTCTCTTAGCGCACAACAATTGGTGGACTGTGTGAAGAAAAACGGTGCATGTAGCGGTGGTACGATGGAAGTAGCTCTGGAATATATCGTGGACAATGGCATTATGTCAGAAGATGACTATCCATATGAAGATGGTCATATGTTGTGTAGATACAACAATTCAAAAGCTGCTGTTCGAATAAAGTCATACAAAAATGTTAAAGAAAACGATGAGACCGAACTTCAAAAGGCCGTAGCACTCGAGGGACCCGTTTCAGTAACAATTCGAGTTACTGAAGAATTTCAGTTATATAAAAGAGGTAAGATATATTTCTGATGTATCAAGACCTGAGAAATGTTCGGTCTGGAAAAATCTGCTATTTGGAATTTGTCGTCAGGTGATTGAATATTCATGATGCACTGTTTGCAACCTTTGATGTAGTGATGAATATCACTGGAGTTTTTCCCTTCACCGAATCGTTATTTTCAACACCTCGATACGTGTTTCGATCACCAAGTGATCATCTTCAAGAGAAAGATTAAACCAAGTGATCATCTTCCTCGGTGATCGAAACACGTGTCGAACTGTTAAAAATAATGATTTGGTGTGGGGAAAAAACTCCAGTAATATTAGCAGTAATATTAGCGACAATTTCTGACAGCGCACGCCAGATTATTGCAATTCAAATAGTTTGATTTTTCAATAATTGAACAACCTATGTTATTCGCTGATGATGTACCTTCCACCAGCTTTCCCAAATTTGTAAGAAACAAACATCCATGGGATTTTCATTCACGAAAAACTATAGTATTGTGAAGTGTTGAAGTCTTGTAAACTTTTTAGTAAAAACCTCAGAACAAATTGTTACCTAACAATGACCTGATATTCACCAAATCCATTAGGAATGCTGTTGAGAAAATGTCTTCAACTACTTCGAGAAACTACTATTTTCTAATCAATAATGTGCCTGTCGAATGCAGTATAGGGGTAGTTACAAAATTTCACAAAGAAAGATACAGATCCGCATCTAAAAAGTGGAAGTTGGCCATTATGAATTAAATGCCCTGGAAATGTGTAAATAACACACATAAAAACTCCCTTCAGGTGGGGTTCTATCTCTCCTTCGGTGGTCGCTCCTGATGGATAATCTGCTTGATGCCCTTGACGAAAGAAAAGTTGATCTGCAAGCTTATGCAGATGACCTTGTCATCCTGGCAAGGTCCACCTCGGGAAGGGTAGCTTGTAGTTTCTTCCAAAGCACGTTGGACGTTCTTCGCAGTTGGTGCTTGAGGGAGCAGATGTCTGTCAACCACAGCAAAACTGTGTTAATTCCCTTCACTAAAAGGAAAAGATTAGAAAATCCAACGCCAATTTTCCTCAATAGTGAGGTCATTTCATTTGGAACGGAGGTGAAATATCTTGGATTCGTCCTTGATAAAAGTCGCACCTGGAACGCTCACTGCTGACAACTTTCGATTATTGCATGACCATGAACGCAAGATCCGTCACCGAGTACCTAAATGAGGTCGGGATTCAAGTTTTACCATGGCCAGCACGCAGTCCCGATCTCAACCCGATAGAGCACATTCGGGACAACCTCAAAAGAGGTGTAAGAGGTTGAGTACCAGCCCCTTGAAATATCTTGGCATTGTCCTTGATAAAAGACTCACCTGGAACGCTCACTTGGAAAAAGTTTTACACAAAGCCAGACTGTCTCTATGGACATGTCGAAGGATTTGTAGTAAAACTTGGGGCTTGGGTCCCAAATAAATCTATTGGATTTATGTGATGATTGTCAGACCAATGATCACTTATGGTGCAGTTGCTTGGTGGCCGAAGGCTTTACAGAAAACGACCCAATCGAAGCTCTTTGGTTTACAGAGACAGGCTTGTCTGGCTATCACTAGTGCCATCAGTACCACACCGTCAGCGGCCATGTAGATCCTTCTAGATCTACCACCTCTCCACATTTTTCTGGAGCACATTGCCAATTGCACAAACCAATTAAACGCAGAGTGTAGCATTAAACTAAAAATGAATGATTACATTAGCTCTTATATAATACCATTATATAGGTAATAATAGAGATACTTAGCTCAATTTAGTACCTGAATTTTGTTTATCTGTGGCAATGCGGATAGGCTAATTTGATGTGATTGTCTGAGAACATTTTTGAACGAGTAAGAGTCTGAGAAACTGTTTTGGCAGGCTAGCCTTCAATTTGTTCACAATTTTATCGCTTCGAAGGACGTCATCATTATAAACATATTCATTCATTGTTATGAATTGAAATGAATCAGAATATCCATGAGAAAATTTCACTCAAATGAATTTTGTACCTGCAGGAATTCTCAATGTCCCAAGTTGTGGACACTTCCTATTGTTCCTTAATCATGCAGTACTTGCCACTGGATATGGTTCACAAGATGGTGTAGACTACTGGATTGTGAAGAACTCCTGGGGTACTGAGTACGGAATGGACGGGTACATAAGGATGTCTAGAAATGCCGACAATCAATGTGGAATTGCAACCAGAGCTTCTTATCCTGTTCTGTAGAATGCAAAGGAATGTTTTTATCTACTCCGGGAATATCTTATGTTATATGTCATGAAAATTATTAGACCCCTAATTTACTGAATTTTAAGTGTTTCACATTGCCAGAGAAAAATTAAACGAAGACCAATTCAAAGTGTCTATCCTGAAACTCTTCTGCTTCAGAAAGAAATATTTCATTGTAACGTTCACCAAACAGATAGAGCTTCTTTACGCGTTCAGTGTTTGGTTGAGGAATCGTTATCATACTTTCCGGCATATTCGGTTAAGAAGATCTCATTTACGATAACTTTGAAGACATGGCCTTCATTTCATCTTCTGGCGGCGAAGAGTAACGTATAACAGTACCTCCAATCGTTGATAAGAGAATCTGAAAAAACACCAGCAGCCCGTGTATGAACGTTTTTCGGATCCAAGATAGATCCAAACCACATGTACGAACTGTACAAAAGGATCAGATATCCCAAAGAAGTCTTTCAAAACTTATATCCTTAATATACATTGCAACAATCTCATATTTCGAGAACCAATAAGGGTACATATGTGTATGTCCACTGCTATACAGTGCATTTCTCTCATGTCCCCCCCCTTTATTTTTTGAACGGGTCAACTGAAAGAATTGAAATTTGGGATATTGAGATTAATATAAACCGAATGGTGGGTTTTTCATTCGTCCAGTCCGATAAATGTTATTGTCTACGTCCACAAGATAGTCTAAGTCCATATTAATTATTAGAAGAGTACGTGCTCCAAGTTTGTCCCGTTCCTGGTCGAAGAAAACTGCAGCTACAGCTCGACGAGAAACTGACAGGCAAATATTACTTACATTTGACTCATTCTTTTGAAAATCACAACTTTTTGCTTCAGAAATACTGTTTTATTAACATGATACAATTATTGAATTTTGAGTTAATCCATTCATAATGTAAACCTGAACTGAGTATACTCTGGTGAGGTAATTTTAATACCATTCCTAATAGTTATTTTATGACAGGAATCTTATAAGTAATAATTTTCCTGATATTTTTACCTGGACTATCCTTAGGTAAATGAAAGCGTACTACGATCATTATTGGATTATTACAATTTGTTTTACACATGATTAAATGGCAAATTTGGAGTACATTCAGATTTTGATTTCTACCCGTATTCAATTTACCAGCCAATATTTTGTGAATGTCAAGTACCTTCAGAATATCTGATTTTTATAGTTTCATTTCATTGCCGTGGTTTAAAGAACTAAATTTGATTAGATTTGGTTTCACAGTCGACCAGATCATGTATCCATTCATTTTATTGACTGTGTGGCGCTCAACTTAAATCTTTATAAAACAAAATATTCAATTGCTGAAATTTCATGATACAGAAAATTTTCTTTGAACGAAATCCATAGTGCATACCGACGAAGAGCTGCCGTACGCATTGTGTCTATCTTTCGAGTAAATAAGTAAATCTTTCGAGTAAATAAAAATAAGTTTTGTATTACATGAAAGATAGGGTCACAATATCAGGGTTCCCAACTTAAAATATAGAGAACGACACTAATGAAAAAAGATTGAAAACAAGCGGGGTTTTTTTGTTAAATATGAAAAAAAGGAGAATGATCGTTTTTTCTGTGTTCTAGAAGGATTGGAAAGACGTGTGTCGCTTGTTTGCGGATTTTTCTTTGAAACTCTTGTAATTATTGCGGAAAAGTTAGTCAAAGGAAGGTCCTCTGACTATTTCAAGAAAATTTGTTCCCGAATTACACAAGTTTGCTAAATTCACATGGAATAATTACTACTCAAGGCCACCCATCATCGAGGTAGGTTTTATCAGCCTTTGCATGTATTACATTCAAATTTGAGTGAACCCGGTTAAACTTTTCGTGAATATGTTCTTTTTAGGGCTTTTTTTTCTTTTGCTACTTGATATTTTACGTTACGTGGCCTTATCAACTACCCTACTTTACATCAATTTGCCTTTACGTAACGGTTCAGTTCAGCTTGGTTTTACTTACCATTGAAGATAAGGGTCGAAGATCTAGTTGAAGATAGCCCGGGGTAGTATTCATCACACAAGCCTGGATCATTGGTTGAAAAATAAATTCATCCAGGAGCGCAATCACTCTCCAATTTGAACATTCAGTCGAAGTGATGACGTAGCGAGTATTTTGGATGCTTCCTTCGTACGCCTAGGCCTACCCTGCTACGCTGTTACTCTCGACAAGACAACATTCTCCTACGAAGCTGAAGCCAGGGTGGAAAACACAATAACTATCACAAGTGAGCTGTATCGTTATTCATACTGTTTTTCTGGCTAAAACTAAATCAAGTTTTTTTTCGACCAGATATATCTTGTCCTCCGATTATGTACTCACTTCTGTGAACTTTTGGTATCGATACCTTAAGAGGACTCCTTACTGGATATAAACGTTATCGGTTACCCCTGGCTATTTGTTTGAATAACGTTGAAATAGAGAGCTAGAGCTTGATTTATTTTGTTGTTCTATTTTTTTTTGTTGGAAATTATACAACTCCCTACAATCACTCATCATAGTGAATATTACTGGAGTTTTTTCCCAACACCAAATCGTTATTTTTAACACCTCGACACGTGTTTCGATCACCAAGTGATCATCTTCAAAGAGGAAGATTAAAAAACTACAGGAGTCCTCTTAAGGTATCGATACCAAAAGTTCACAAAAGTAAGTATATAATCGGAGGACAAGATATATCTGGTCGAAAAAAACTTATTTAGTTTAACATTACTATTGTGTAAACATTACACAAGAACGAACACTTTTCAAAATTAAATTGATAACAAAAATAATTCTACATTAGAAAACAAGAGACAATATTGTGAAACTAGCTTCGCAATTAATTGACATTTGATACTGATATGACAAAAATTCAGTAGCTCAGTTACTTGAAATGCTGACCATTTACTTGTAAACATTGATGGATTGATGTTATTACGTGATCAGCCGTCGTGGCTCAGCGGATTTCCGACGCCTTGATTTCCTCGAAGACACATCTAACCCGATCTTTCAGTTCCTGTTTCGTATTGATAGGTGTTCTATGTTCTATATGTTCTTCGAACATATCGGTTAGTTCCCTACTCACTTCACATGTTCAATGTCTAGAAGCTCCATTCAACCAATACCAACAATTCCGAGAAAAGTTCAGGGGCAAATTATCTCCATAAATGAAAATAGAAACTTTATCATCCATGAGCATACAAAAAACATTAGAACTGAATTTTTTTTGGAATCCCCTTTCCTCAGAAGTGATTATTTCGACAATTGAATATTCCCTCACGTGAAAATTGTGATTCATCAGTCCATATAATTTTTTCAAAAAGTTTGGATCTTCGTATCTCCATGTTAGTGCCATTTCGCAAAATTGTACCCGTTTTGGTGGATCATCTTTATGCAAAGCTTGCAGCCTAATTAATTTATAATCGTGCATATTATGTTTTTGTGAAATTCTCCATATAGAAATTCGAGATATTCCCAAATCAACCGCAGCACTAGATACTGATGCATGAGGATAAGCATAAAAATATCCTAAAATGTTAATTCAATTTTCCATATCACCAGTCACCGGACTCACTACTTCAATATGAAGTCGGATAGTTTACGCTTGAGGAAGCTATTGAATAGCGAAACGCGTGTCGCAGTTTTTGTAAAACCCTATATAGTGAAAATCATACAATAAACTGTATTAATCAGTTTTGAACAAGTTATCATCAAATCCATTATTTTGTTTTTCAAATCTGATTTAGATCATGACACACCTTTATCCTTGCCGAAATTTTAAGAATGTGTGTATTATGCACTTGATTTTTGATTTTATTGAAAATTTTATGCTTGCATACGAGCAATTTTTTTAAATAGTTCATATCTCATAAACGGTCAGAAATAGGTATAGGACATAGTTGATCAAAGTTGTTCACATTGGTTGGCTGAATTCAAAGATTGAATAATATACAGGGTGTTCCATTTGACAAAAATTAGTTATGGTCGTTTATCAAAGATACAAATTGAGACGTATTTTTCAGACACTGTGTATAAAATGAGATTTGAGTTCCATTCTGAAATAACAACCACAATATCTTATCTCAATGTTGCCAGAAGTTGAGTTCGATGTATCAGTTAATTCATGCGATATTGAATGTTAAAAATACCATGTTTTCGCCCAAAAAAATTACAAAATAATCAATACTTTAAAAACGATGAGAGATAAGTATAGAACATATTCAACAAAAGTGATTTGGATTTTGATGCAGAATTCAAAAATGAACATTTGAAATTTCTAAGTTAATGTCTGTTACATGTAGATGTGGCAATATTGGAGGAAGATTCAAGTGCATTTTCAATACAGCTATTTGGTATTAGGTATTTCCGATGCTTACAGAGCAAGCTTTCGTACATTGCTTGCCTGTTAATACCGGTCTTTCACCTTTGGCCACCAGACCATATATGTATATGCTATCATGGGTTCAACTACTTTGTTGCGGAGCTGACATCATCTCTTGTTTCAGCCCTCATGTCTTTCAGTAAGTGCACCTTGGCAGCCATTATTGCCAGTCTCTTTACTCTTTCTGAATGTTAGGTCAGCCTGGGATCTAGTATCACTTTCAGATATTTGACCTCCTCCGACAGATGTGTAAAAGTTTTAGAGGTCCTAAATCATCTATATTTTTCGTCTTGGTGAATACTACTATGACCGATTACGTTGATCTTATATGTAGACCTTTTTCATCGGTTGGTTCATCTTGCTATAAAAATATTCAGGACCTGCTGCATTTGTGAAGGACTAGAAAGACAAGTCGTCTATAGACGACTTGTCTTGCTATGTATAGCATACTTTATACCTATTATGGTCTAGAAAACCTAGTAACTTGCAATACAATGTTCAATAACAGTAGAGACAAATCAGAGACAAATCCTCAGCCCGAGAACCCGTTGCCACCCGTGCATCTACTGTTAGAGTTATATTCTGAACTCAAGCGCCAAAATCATGATACCTATACGTACATACAATGTAATATAAAATCAGGGTTTCAAAAAAACTTTTGAGAGTATTCGGTATTTCTACATAAAAGAAATATAAATGAATCTATAAGAAAAAAAAACAATTTGGGTGGAAAATGTTCATTCAAAAAAAATTTGGAAGGATTATGCATTGATTGGGAAGATGTTCCAATATTATTACTATTTATTACCTGCCAAAATAAATAAGAGGTTGCTTGAGGATCATTCATCAACGTCAATTCTTTATTGATGGAAAACAGCCATTTCCGAATGCTCAAACAGGTACTTGTGGCGGTACTATAGTTTTGTACGTATAAATTGTGTGGATATTCACTAGGTTTTAGCTTTCTTTCTGGAACAAATTCAACAACAATTTTTGTTTAATAACCCAAAGACTCTATAAAGCGGAAAATTATGAAAAAAATTAATTTTACTTACCAAAATTGTATTCAACTATTTCGAAAAGATAAAAGTAGTTGGAAATTTTTTTGGACATTCCAATTTTTTTGATAACTGCATCATATACTTCATCAGTATTCGCACTTTTTCTCACGGATACAGTAACCACTTCTCTATCAGGTAATAATACCTGAAAATAAAATACGAATCATAATAATAATGAAGACTTCACATTCACAGTTAAAACGATATTGAGAAAAAATACATAAGTAGAAGTCACAGATGTCCTGATGTGATACATATTTACACAAAAACAAAAACGTGAGTTCAAAAAAAAAAAATTGAGTACTGTTGGTGAAAGATGCAATGTGTGTGCGCAACACGTTGCCTGCCATTGCGTTTCATCAACCAATTCAATACGTTGAGCTTTGTCAGTCTGTATTGATGAATACACGGCAGACAGCAACTGGTGTGTAGGACGCGATGAACTGCCAAGGACATATGCGGCGCTCCAGTTACAAGGACGTTCTCCGACAAATTGACTTCACCATCCCAAGTAGAAAATTTTTTCTTAGTCAAATAGACCAAAACATATGATAGTGTGTTATGTTATCATAACACACTAGCGTGTGTTATGATAACAAATAGTAAGAACAATAGTCAACCATCTGAAAGAAAATTTCGAACTAAATTGCGGCATCTGCTGA